TCTTCCATTCCATTCCCCTTCCATCCTTTTCCTTCCTTCTCCTTCCTTCCTCTTCTTTCCTCTTCCATTCCATTCCTTCCTCTTCTCTTTCTTCTCCTTCCTTCCCTCCTGGTTGTAATTCTGTGCTTGTGTGTGTTTGTGTGCATGCAGACACGGACTCAGAAGGACATGTGTGCATATACACCAGGGGTGGGTTTCTGGCCCCGTTCCAACCGCTTCGGTTGGAACGGGGCCGGCGGCATCCTCGCACACGCGCGCGGCACACGCGCACACATGCGGCGCACACATGCGTACTAGCATCTGTGCGATGCTCCAGCTGATCCTGGAGGATCGCGCAGGCGCTGTATGCGTCCTGCGCATGCGTGGAAGCGCAGAACTCGTCAAAACCGGGTAAGGAGCGCGGGTGGGGGTGGGCCCTTCGCCGTTCCCGGAAGTTACTTACTTCAAGGTTCGCCGACCAACCGGTTCGCAGGGACTGCCGTGAACCGGTTGAAACCCAGCCCTGATATACACATACACAAACACACAGACCCTCTATTTTCATCCTTAGGTACTTCACAGTGCCAACAATTTCACTTGCAGTCACTTGATTGCCTCTGCTGCCCCCTTGTGTTTAGGAACTGCAAAGGTGGCTAAAAAAAAATCCCTGGTCTTACACTTTGGAAATGAAAAACGAACCCCACCCCCCCAAAAAAGGTAAACTTCTCTCATTTGGGTGAGACAGGGGAGTCAAAATCAAAGTGCAAGAACACCGGAATGATGACCGTCACAAAAGGAGGGCACCACACAATTGCTGCAATGATGTTCTTGTGTTGGGTTATGTGATGCCCACAAGGACAGGACACACTCATACAAAGCCTGCGATTTGATTTGGTTTTATCTTGGTTTATGCACATCTCACCGTTATTATTTTTCTTTGAAATGACTTAAGTGCCCAATGCGACTTTCCTCCGTCTGATTTCCCTACACAACAACAACCATGTGAGGCAGGTTGGTCTGAGAGAGAGAGTTGGTCTGGTCCCAAAAATCACCCAGTTGAGTTTCATGCCTAAGGCAGGACTAGAACTCACCACCTCCTGGTCATTGGCCCTGTCATTCAGTCATTTTTCATGCCTAAAACGGGACTAGAACTCACCATCACCTGGTCATTGGACCAAAGTCATTCAGTCATTTTTCATATGTAAAACGGAACTAGAACTCACCATCTCCTGGTCATTGGCCCTGTCATTTGGTCATTTTTCATGCCTAAGGAGGGACTAGAACTCACCATCTTCTGGTCATTGGACCAAAGTCATCCANATAGTTTGACTCCCTCTTCTTTGTGGCAACCCCTGAGATATTGGAAGACTGCTATCATGTCTCCCCTAGTCCTTCTTTTCATTAAACTACACCTACCCAGTTCCTGCAACCGTTCTTCCTATGTTTTAGTCTCCAGTCCCCTAATCTTCTTCTCTGCATTCTCTGATTCTACAACTTGGTTTGACTATGCTTATATGGTATGCTTTTGTATTTTTTATGTTATTAAATTATTATTCCTGAATGTCATAATATCATGACTCTTGGGCAGAGGGGAAGAAACAGCCCAAATCTTCCAGGGAGCTTTTAGGACTGAGAGTAGACTATAAACTAGATCTCTGCATTGTCAATAAAAACACTGTACAGAATAATAGAGTTGGAAGGGACTTTGGAGGTCTTCTAGTCCAACCCCTTGCTCAAGCAAGAGACCCTATACCATTTCAGAGAGGAGGTTAATCAAGTTAAAATAGTAACTTGTCTTAGAGGATGGTTTAATGTTCTCTGGTGATTCTGTAATGCAAGTCTTGCATTTAATTGTGCTTTAATACATTTTTAAATTTTATTTTATTTCCTGTTTCTCCCACTTGAGTGCCTTTTGAAACAGTTGGAAGAAATGTCCTTCTGGGTTCAGTTCCAAGCAGGGAAAAAGACACTGGAAACATGGAGGCTGTTTTGAAAGATAGTTTAATGGTGGACAGGATCATATGGCTTGGAGCTCCTGGGTGAAATGGGAAGAGATGCTGAGAGTCCCTGAGTTTTATGCCCTCTCTGGGTTTTGAACTTCCTGCGACACAGGAAGAATATCCTGATTAGTTGCTGTCAGAGGTCATAGCTAGCTTTGTGGCTTGTCTGTGTGCTACGTTTGGTTGAAACTTGGTGGGTGGTGCAATGAAGGGCAATGAAATGGCTCTTCCTGAAGGGGGTAGATCTTTGTTATGTAGAATAGACTGGCTCAGGCCTTAATGGCCCATTGACAAAGATGGGTGTGTGTGTGTGTGCTATTAAGAGTGAGTCGGTTTCCTGCCTAAAAACATGCTTTCCCATTTCTCATCCAGGGAAATATAATATTCTTCCTTTTTAATATTTCCCAGGATATTTCATTTGTCTAGGAGAGGGGTGGGTGCTAACTTCCTTCAAAACAGAACTTCATCTAGGTCTAATAAATAAACAAACGAATAGAAACATAAGCCTATCCTCACGACATCCACCAAATTCAGGGCTGGTTTTCCTCAGTGGAATGCCGAGCTTTGGGAAATAAAATTCCTCTGAATCCTCTGCAGGGGATTACAGATATTGACTTTGATCAAGATAAATCCCATTGCAAAATTCAGCTCCAGACAGGGCCTCCGAGACCACACGGAGTCAAGTGCTTGTCCCCCCCCCCACACTCCCTCTCCTTTCCACCCCAGCAAAATCACGTGGAAGGCAGAAACAACGTCGTAATTTAAAATTCAATTTCTGATTCCCCCTATATTCACAGGCGCTGCCTCCGAACGAGGATTCCATTAAAAGGTTTAATAGATTTTATGAGACTTGTCAGTTGCAAAAAAAAAAGGGGGAACGGAGCAAAATGCATTCTCTCTGCTCCTGGAAATTCAGATGGCAGACTAGTAAACAAATTTACCATGGAAATGAAAGCAGGAGGGGGAACATTTCCACCACCCATACACGTATAATCTCAAACAGGGAGCAAATAAACCTCATCTGAATAACTTTAAAAGCTTGGCGTGTTATTCTTTTCCTTGGTTT